TTCTTCATTCTAAAGGCTCAAATCCGAGAATACTCATAAATTAAGTTTATCGAACCATCTCACCACACCCCTAGGCAGTTTAACTAGGAGTTGTTTGGTAGGAGCTATTAGAAAAAACAATGCAAGTATTAGCTTTGTGCATTACTAATTCCTTGTTTGGTATATTTTTTTTTTATCTGGTATTATCCTATTGTATAACTAATTATATAGCAAACCATTGTATTAGCAATGTAAGGGTTTTTAATACTTATATGAATATGACTAAAGACATAATTGCCGCTCAAATCCTTCAAAACTCAAATACCGTCCAGAACAGATAACATGAAAGAAATATGGTGAAGATGTATTCTTCTTCAACACATCAATCATAGGAAAATGTTAAATCGTAATTGATAAAGATAACATTAATTAAAATTATTTTATTCAAGTTTTTTGATGGCCTACCATTGACTTCTATATACGAATCTTCTTCCATAACAGCAGATCATTTGCTTTCCTTATGCAAGTAGTTCATATTTTGGAGGTAATACAACTGTTAGCAATAAAAACAATGTACAAAGTTAAAGAACTTGGTGGGTATTTTCGTAAACAATCAATTTTTTAGAATCTTATGTAATATTTTTATACACCAAACCAAACGATGACATAATCTCAACATATTACTATTATTAGCATTCCTCGTCCACCATATGCATCACTATTCTTATACTCCCTTCGATTCAAAATAAGTGATTTTTTGGCTCTTTTTTGTGGTTCAAAATAAGTGATTTTTCCAGATTTCGAGAATGAATTAATTATTTTTTTCATACATTGCCCGTGGAGTAAATAGTGTTGGAGTATGTGTCAGGAGTGTTTATATGAAGAGATAGTAAAGATTAACATGGTCAATTTCATTGCTAACTAAAGTTAAAAGACGGATTTTTTAATCTGTGTAAAAACATCTAAAAAAAAATCACTTAGACAGAGTAAGTAACTCCTACCAAACTACCCCTAATAGTGTTTGCTAACCGATTTTACCGTTGGCCCCAGCCATAATAATTTCCACATCTCTTTCTCATTTACTTTTCTTTCTCTTTCTAAAATTACTCCATCCTCATATACACCAATTTCAGTCCCCCCCTCTCTCTCTCTCTCCTTTGCCGGAGAAATATCCCACTATATTCTGGGACCTCATATTTCTTTTTCATTATCCCCATAGCGTGCACATGAGCACAAATAAGAGAGAGTGTGACTAAAGAATCTGACAGCCCAGCCACCATATTCCTTTGTAAAAACAACACTACCTTTTTCCTCCTTTCTTCTTCCTATTTGACCTCTCTGTTTTCCATTTTCAGTTACTCAAAAAGCTACAACAGAAAGCTACCAAAAGAAGTAAAAACAAGAAACAAAATGGCTATGAAGTTGTTCCTTTTGTTGCTTCTTTTTGTCCTTCTCTCAACTATACAACAAGCACAAGGACTCAATCCTATTGATTTATCTGCTTTACGTGATATTAAAAACAGCCTTACCGACATAAATCCTTCTTCTCCAAATGCATTTTTCACTAGCTGGGATTTCACTGTTTCAGACCCATGTTCCACTTTTGCTGGAATTACTTGCTCTACCAATTCCTTCTTTCTTACACGGGTCACTTCTCTTACTCTTGGCTCTGGCCTTTCTGATTCCCCCGGCTTAGCCGGTACGTTATCTCCTTCTATTGCTAATCTCTCCGAGTTAACTCAGCTTATTCTTTGCGCCGGCATTGTCACCGGACCTATTCCATCTCAACTCGGAACCCTACAAAACCTCAGCGTCGTTTCGCTCACTAACAATCGCCTTACTGGTTCCATTCCGACTTCCATTTTTACGCTCCCGAATCTTCATACTCTAGATTTGAGTCATAATCAACTTACGGGAACAATCCCGGGTTCGATATCCGGGTTAACTGAGCTGAAGGTATTAATTATCGGGTCCAACAAACTCAACGGCGAGATTCCTCGGTTACTGCCGGCGGAATTACTCCATTTGGATTTGAGTAACAACCAGTTCTCGGGAATGTTGAAACAAAGAATGCCGTTAACGCTCCGTTATCTGTCGGTATCAGGAAATCGGTTGTGGGGACCACTCAACGTACTCGAATCACTCTCAGAGTTAGTGTACCTCGACTTAAGCATGAACCATTTCAGTGGGCCCATCCCTTCATCTCTTTTCCGTTCCACATTGTCATCAATGTTCCTCCAACGGAACTATTTGACTGGAGGGGTCCCACAACCACCGTTATCACCGTCAACCGCCGCCGTATACGGCCCTGGATCCACCGTAGATCTGAGTCACAACTCTCTAACCGGGAAACTCACTGGTATTCTCGCCGGAGTAGAAACTCTGTTCCTTAACAACAACCGGTTCACCGGAGAAGTTCCAAAAGAGTACGTGGAGAGTGTTTTCAATGGAAATACAAAAACTCTGTATTTGCAACATAATTATATTTCTGGATTTCCGGTAGAATCGGGATTATTGTTGCCCGATTCAGTAGCATTGTGTTTGTCGTACAACTGTATGGTTCCACCGCTGCCGGTGGAGTTCATGGCGTGTCCTGCCAGCGCCGGCGAGGAGATTTCGAGACCGGCCAATCAGTGTTCTGCTTTTAATACTTCCATGGCATAAGTTAAAATTTTGAGTTTCGTCCATTTGTGATTTAGAAGATAAATATTCAATTGTTGTCAGCATATAGCACATGATACATATTATAGGAGTACGTTATACATATTTTGATTGGTTCAGTTTTACTGTTTTTGTTTTTGGCTTCTGTTCAAATTAGTCTCTTATTTTAGGCTATAGTTACTAGTTTGAACAATTGTAATCTTCTTGACTTTGAGCAAATTTTGACTTTGTTTATGTAGTAGTAGTGAAGGAGAGATTTGAAATAATGGTAAAATTATTTGCGAGTGACTTGTGGGCGTTTGGACATAAGAATTGTAAAATTTAAAAACAGGGTGAAAATTTTTTTTAAGTGAAAATGGTATTTGAAATTTAGAGTTGTGTTTGGACATGAATATAGTTTTGAGTTGTTTTTGAAGTATTGTGAGCGATTTGTGTGAAAATTTTGAAAAACAGTTTTTTGGAGTTTTTCAAATTTTCGAAAATTTCCAAAATGCATCTTCAGGTGAAAATTAAAAATTTTATGAACAAACTCTGATTTCGAAAAAAAGTAAAATTATTTTGGAAAAAAGGGATCCAAACGGATAAATTATGGATTCGAGCCGTGAAAACATTTACTAATACTTGCATCAAAGTAGGTACGCCATGTTTTATGCACTAGACTCTTACTTATGCAGTAGTTGTAAAAGTTTTACACAATGATCCACCAACTTTGTGAAATTTGATAAGACTTTCTTTATCAATTTTAGCATATAAATAAGAACTCGTCATTTTTAAACTTTTAATCACTCTGTGAACTAGTGATATTGTTGGCCTATTTAACAAGAACAGACAACTTAACGTTAAGTTTAAAACTTTTTTAATCCTTTTGGGCGGCAAAAACTAGAGCATAATGTTACTTTAATCGTCCTTTTTTAATCATTGTGGGATCCGAGTTGGTCAAACAATTGGCTTACTTTTGCATTTTAAAAGAATTGACAGTTATTATGGACGGCATACTCTCATCATATAGGAAATTGAACATCTATTTTTAATCATATTGCTATTATTAAACCTCAAAAATTAGCCCATGTGACGGACTGAGTCATAGCTTGATTCATAGCTTGATTCAGTAGCGGTCTTACTACCATCCGACCACCCGACTCATCTATGGCATTGGTCCGAAACGAGACAAAGAGTGACTCTACTACCACCATGTTACAAGACTTACCTAATATCGACCCCTAAAATTAATAAAGTACATGATTTGACGAGTTAAGATATTTGCAAGTTGTTCAATCCTCCCTCTTATGTCCAAGTTAGACCGGGCACCACAATACAAAGCTCTTTTAACACAACAAATATTTAATTGTTATAAAAGAATAATAAAGAGGGAGTAAAGAAAGGAAATAATGTAGCATCATCATTTATAGAAGCACGCAGAGTTCGTGTAGGGGCAATTTTTCCAAAAGCGTGGATCGAGTCAAAAAGGAACACTAAATCATGATAATGGTATACTTGCTGTTTTGCAGTGTGCTATTATTTCAGAGGGACCAAACTTGGAATACGCCACTCGTGAATACTCATATTATTCTCAAAGCTTTTGCCAACAGTATTTTCCATGTCCTCTTCCACCCAATATCTGTCAAATTTTTTTAGCAATTGCATTTTGTAAACGAAAAGTTCTGAGTAGGACCCTAGCAATTGCATTTTGTAAACCAAAAGTTCTGAGTATGACCCGTAAAACGGAACTCGATGAATAATAAGCACGCGTCTACCATTCTCCGCTTGAATACTAAGCTTTAAATACTAAGCTTTTGTAAGCGTCTACCATTCTCCGCTTAAACACTAAGCTTTTGTAAGGAAAACTTCTCTACGTATTACATAGTACGTTCAACGTGAGGTATCATGAAGAGAGTAGGAACCAAGAGTGAGTCGATCATCAAAATGGGTTTTTGCAAACATTAAATCAAACAAATAGCATTTGTACAAACAAATGATAAAGCCTTAGGGGTCGTTTGGTTTGAATACGTCTTATACCGGGATAAGTTATGCTGGGATTGTTTTTTATCCACTGTTTGGTATGTTGTATTAAAAATGACAATTGCGTAATTACTAAGAAGAAGGTATAAGTTATCCCGATGCTAATTACCCCACCCTCTACAAGGTATAAGTTATCCCGGTGCTAATTTTAATCCCGAGATAACTTATACCTAGTTTGCTAACCAAACAAAGTATTAAGGTGGTATTAAATTTTTATACCAGCATTATACCTTCTTATACCTCATACCAAACGACCCCTTAATAGGTATTCTCGGTCTCTCAGGTTCACCACCAACAAACCAAGCATCAACATGTCAAGAAAAAGTGATTTTCAAGAGAGCTAATCAAGAGGATGCAAAACATTTTCTAACAAGAGTCTGGTTATTTCTTTACAAGTTACAACATTCAGAGCTCAAAAGCTGCTTTGTTATAAACCTAATGTGAGCAATGATAAGCCTGTGAAAGGCACACGTATAGTCTCCTAATCCTTGTTGCTGCTTTGGAGACTAACAAGCAGCTCAACATTTATTTCAGAGTACTAGGAAAGAAAAAACTCAACTGTGAGATCTCTTGACAGGTAAAAATAAAGTTCCTGGAACTATCAGCTTCCGCGAAGGCCTAAACTCTAAATTTTACTGGTATTTTATGGAATAAAATGTTGCAGATAACTGCTCCATCTCTATTGAGTCCTTATAAAATTGCTTGAACCAAAGTGAATCTTTTCAACCTTTCAGTGACCTGACCTGGAGACCAAGCACATAGCATGAGAAGCACCAATGGCTACTGAAAGCACGTTATGGCTCCCAAGTCCATCATCCTCCATGAGAAACTTGACTTCAACAGGAGATAACTGTTTCTCTGGCAGTCCGGGAACCCCCAGTTGACAATCTTGTGCATTGCCCCACATGTATAGCTTCCCACCATCTGTCACCAATAAAATTAATCATTAGCCAACAACATTACATCCTTTGTACAATAAGCTAAATATGCAAGAAAAATGAACATCGCTCATTGACCAACAGGTCTCTAAAGCAGGGATGGGAAGTGGTAATAATTGGATCAGAACAATTGTGACATGTTTACCAGTTATAGCTGCCGACGATGAACCTCCACAAGCTATATAGATGACTTTCTCATGGGTCAAAGCCTCAACTGGAATAGGAACTTTCTGGTTGTGAAGAGAAGAATTACCTAGTTGACCATGGCCTCCATGACCCCAAGAAAGCACTTCTCCCTTCTCTGAGAGTAAAGGATACTTTCTAACATAAGTAGTTCAGATACAAATATGCATGTGAGATATACTAGTTTCATTGTATGTTACCAGTCAAAGCTAGAGAATGATATCCCCCACTAGCTATCTGAATAACACGAACACCTTTAAGGCTTGAAACTGGTTGTGGTTTCCAACCACCTAATTTGTCACCTCTTCCAAGCTCATAGTTAGAGTTCGCTGAGAAAAGAAATCACCAGAAATGTTATTGCTGTTATTCAGAAAAGAGAGATTACTAATAGGCAATAAAATGTTCAAAATATACCCAAAAAGTAGAGAAAAAATATCAACACTAGAATCTCCAGTCGCATTCCAGACAAAGTCAAACTCTAATCATAGATCTCACAGTACAAGACTTGATACATCATCGAAGTTGTTTCTAGGTCTGGTTCATTATTATGAATGTGATTTTTGGGGCACTGAACTTGTTGGAGTTAAGAGCAACAGATATGAATGTAATAACTCTTATTTGGTACAACGAATGTCTTCTACTTTTCAAGTGATTGTTGAAAAGGGTAGCTTGTATATTTGTTCCCTATTTCAGGTGCGACGAGCATTTGAACTTATTAATGGAGCACATATAGTAAGCAAAATGTAATACTCCCTCCGTTTCAATTTATGTGAACATATTTGACTTGGCACGCAGCGTAAGAAAAAAGAGAATACTTTTGAACTTGTGGTGTAAAATGAGGCACATATATTTTGTGTGGCCATAAATCATTGCATAAAAGTAAATCGTTTCCAAATATGGAAAGGGGTCATTTTTTTGGCACGGACTAAAAAGGAAATAGATTCACATAAATAAAATGGATGGAGTATAAGATAAAAGAAGTTACCTCTTCATCAACAAATGGTAAAGGGTCCTTTTTTTTGGCACGGACTAAAAAGAAAATAGGTTCATATTAGAGTGCAAATTTCCTTAGTTAATGGGTATGCCTTGCTTTCCTAAGTCTCTTCGCTTACCATTTTGATTGAACATATAGTAGCTAAAAAGTACATTTACAATATATAGCAGTAATATAAGAGAGGTTTTCTGCTATCTAATATGATTGAAACACATGCAAGGCATTTGGATTAAGACTATGGCTGTCCAACGGGACGGGACGGTCCCGCGTCCCGTCCCACTTCATTTTAAACGGGATGCGCCAATGGTAAACGGGACACGGGATGGGACGGGACGACCATTTCGTCCCGTTTGTCCCGTCCCGTTTTGTCCCGTCCCGTCCCGCCTATCCCGCATGTCCCGTCTCATCCCGTTCCGTCCCGTCTCATCCCGCCTGTCCCGTCTGTCCCGCGAGTTTTTATGGTATATTTGTGGAATTTCTGATGTATTTGGTAAGTATAAAACAAATCCAACTTATGCACCGGCCATAAATGAAATGATTTCAAAATTTTAAAAGTATTTTTTCCCTATTCCCGAAATTTATTTAATTTCTACTCTACTTAACACATCTTTGAAACTAAGAGGTGCAAAGGGACTTGTTCGTAAAATTTATGAGAATTTAGCAATTCAAGAAAATGAACAACCATCTCTCGAAGACTGCCAAGCTAGCATATATTCTTATGCTATGCTAGATCAATGTTTGATAAATATAAAGCTATGGAAACAACAGGTTGTGAAACTGCTCCTTCTACTTCTAAGTCTAGGGCAGAAGTTTTATGGGAAGATATGGATGATATAACAGGTTTTGATTCCTCTATTGATGATGAACTTGATTCTTATCTTAATCAAGGATTGGAAAGTACTAAAGACGAAGAAGGCAACGAACAACTTTTGTCATGGTGGAGGGAGCGTGGCAAGGCTTTTCCAACACTTTCAATAATGGCCCGAGATATCCTGGCTATTCAAGAATCATCAGTAGCATCGAAGAGTACTTTTATCGCGGCAAGATTTCAAATTGGAGATCATAGACATGCATTAGCGGAGGACAGTCTAGAGATTTCCGTATTATTCAGAGATTGGATTAGAAGGTGGCTGCGTAGATTAGTTGCTCTTGAAAAGAATTATATTTGTATTTGAGATTTGAAAGTTCTATTAATAAAATAAAAGGCTTTAAGCGTTGAATTTTTCTTATGAATTGTCTTAGTTATATAATACTTTGAAATTATATTAAATAAATTATAACTCTATTATAAATTTATAATTACTAGAATATTTCATTACAAGTCTTTTATTTTAATATTTTATAATTCTTTACTTAGTTTTCTAATTTCCGTTTTAACATTTAAGTTTGTTAAATAAGTCAAAAAACTAGCTGTTGCAAACTTTAAAAACTTAGTCATTTTCAAAAAACTAGACGTTCTTTTAATAAAAAAAACTACACTTAAGACCCACGAACCCGTCCCGTCCCATCCCGTTTCGTCGCGTCGCGTCCCATCCCATCCCGTTTGTTAGCGGGACGGGATGGGACGACCGTTTCGTCCCGTTTGTCCCGTCCCGTCCCGCCACCGTCCCGCTTAAATGCCGTCTCGTCCGGTCCCGTTAATCTTGTCCCGTCCCGTCCCGTCCCGTTGGATAGCCATAGACTAATATATCACTTAATTTTCAATAAAGAAATCAAGACAACACCAAAGCCATATTTTGCCTTCACAGTGAAGTCATCTTTATGCTCCAGTACTCGAGTATGATAAAAGAAAGACAGCATGCAACCTTCCTTTTTATCTTTTTGATAAAGAACAAACATAAATAATGGTGTAGCCCGGAAAACACCACCATCCTTTCAATAAATTGACTTCCCTCAAAAGCATTATAACAGAACATTCTAAAAAATGCGATAGTATCTTACCTCCCCAATTCCAAAGCTCTCCCTCTTCAGAAAGCGCCATTGTGAAAAACCCACCACATGAAACAGCAGCTGCGCTCACAGGAAGTGCTTTTACCTTTGAAGGGATGCTAAGACCACCTGCTTCATTTGGGCCTCGACCTGGACCAAGGCCTAATCGACCATCCCCTTCATCTCGGCCCCAAGTATAAAGCTCACCTAATGATAACAACTAAAAATTTAAACTCTGAGTTAAAGGAAAAGAATAAACACTAAGTTCTACTTCACATCTAAATTTAATTGAATAAAAGAAAAGGCAATAATTAGAATGGTAAGTACCTTACAACCGAATTTCATGTTGGGAAGCGAATATCTAGGTTATCAAAAAGAAATTTATTTCTCTATTATGGATGAATGATAAATATTCCTATTTCCTACCACCACATTTCTGGGCACATTTTCCTTCTGAAGAATTCTTGCAATTAGGAACTTTTTTAACTAGCATCTGGATAACTGCAGATTTATGGAGTAAAATGGAGTTCAAAATGAAAGAAGTGACTTTATTGCCAAATCAGTAATCCAACTATAACTATTTATGATGAATCGGCTGATAGAAGTAAAAAACCTAAATCAAACAATCCAAAAAACATAGCTATAAGAAAGGCAGATAACCCACTTTCTCTCCACACGGTGAAATGTGAAGCCTGAAAATGTTTGAAATTTCCTACCTGACTTTGTTATAGCAGCTGTATGTGTCCCACTGGTTGCAACATGGCAGATTTCTGTATCCCAAGAGCCCTCAACTAATTTAGGAACCAGCTCTCTATGATAAACTGTATGACCAAGAGCACCAAAGCCACCGTAACCCCTGAAAACTTCATTTTTCCATAAAAGAATCAAGTTATAATGAACAAAACTACTGAATCTGACTTTATCAGTTCGTTCAAAATCTTCACCATCAACTATTAAATTTCATTTCTCTAATTCTCTTTCCACTTAAAGGAATTAGAATTGTCTATGGCAAACTCTTCAATGGAAAAATGCATGACTCTTCCGTTGATTTGTATTTTTTATGCAGCTATTCTATCTGTTCCTTCATCTTAAGTTCACCATAACAATAATAGGCAACAGCTGTCATAACAAAGATAATATATACCGGACAGGGACATTTTGGTTCAGCAAACAGATTATCTCAAACTTCAGTACTTCCACATTTATTCATACTTACCTCGCAAAACTAAGTGAAACCACACTACAAAGAGATTACTATACAACTACACAAGGAAAATCTTATTGCCCTACCAGCTTACGAAAAACTATAATACACAATCGAATGCTGATCAAGAAAGTTTACATTTTTGCTTGTGCAGCCATTATATGTGCTTATTCATCTTATAAACTCACAGTTCTAATAACAAGCAACCCTTCTCCAGATTTTTTTCGGTTAAGAGACTAGAAATAGATTTTTCGGTTAAGCATCAAAATTCTACCTTTCTCCACATTCCTTTCTAGTTATCATGCAAAACTAAGTAAAGGCACTACTATTTAGAAGCAAAAAAAATTGTTTCAACCTTTAATACACCAAAGTACTGTATTTCACAATGGTTAAGTAATAAATGAGGTGAAAATCCACATTAGTCAACCATAGTTGGAATTGGTACTGACCAAGTGAAGACCTGACCAAGAGAGTTAAGTGCAACAGAATGAAGCCCCCCAAGAGCAACGCTTTTCACCGACTCCAAATTAGTATTCAGAGTAGGAACAAAAACAGGATTCTCATGACCAAAACCAAGACGACCTCCATCACCTTTTCCCCAAATCCATAAATTCTCATCAGCCAATAAAGCTGAATGGAAAAGTCCACATGAAATTCCTATTTCCACGTCAGCATTTCCCAAATTATTAGATGAAGGAAGACGACCAGGAATAGGAGAAGATAAACGGAAAGTGGGAGGCAGTGAAAATGAGGCAACAGGAGAAGGATAAATTCGTATTTCTTCAATACCGCCACCTAATTGGCCGGAAGCACCACGGCCCCAGGAATATAATTGGACGGTGGTGATTGATTCGGAAGAGTCAGTGATTTCAGATTTCCAAAGAAGAGGAACTTTGGACGAAGTAGAAAAATAAGAAAAAGAAAGGTGACGGCGCCGGAGCAAAGTGAGAAGAGAACGCCGACGAGTGTGGTAATAGAATGATAGCATCTTCTTCTGGCTCGTCGGCGGGTACTGTGGTTGCTCTCAGTCGCTCTAGTTTATGAGTGTTTTTCACATTTTGCGGACAGAGAGCGTTTTCACCCCTACTCTTTCTACATGTTTGATACTTTGCACCCTTAACTTTAATTTTGTTGCACCAAATTTATTAAATTTTTTTTTTTACTACGATCAAGTCATTCAATTTTAATTCACTAAACTACTTCTTGTAACCAAAAAGTTACTCAACTTTGTCTATTTGTCATGAAAGGTCACTAGAAAAACATAGTGATTTCATGAAATTAACCCTTTTGCACTCGCACTCGAAGTTCATCAAAATTTCTCGCTTTGTATTAAATCCCGTATTTTTACAATAAATTTAAGAAAAACTAATATATCTTATTTTACAACAGACAAAACATGTGCAAAAAATTAAAAAATAGAGGATCCATTAAATTCACCAAAAATTAATCCACTTAATTATAACAATGAGCAACATTAAAGAGACGATTTAAAAAAAGGGATAATCACGCTCCAAGTGTATGTGTCACGCCCCAACCTCGGGAGGCACGACCGGCGCTCAATCGAGTGACCCCAACTGAGCAAGCCTCACCAAACACTACCTACCCAACTCCATACGAATAAGGGGACCATGCTTTCGTTTATTCAACAAAGGAAGATAGTATATTCGACATTATTAGTTCATTTTAGATCACAATATTAAACTGTAGATAAGTTAGTTTCCAAAGTTCCCATAGAGTTACAATTCATAGGCAACATAAGTTTAGAATTACAACATAGCTCGCACACTTATCTGATACCCACATCTGACCCACATATATGTCTACGGAGCCTCTAAGGATACAAAAGATAAATGTGACATCGCCGGCAACAAGGCCCCGGCTATACCTCAAAAGTGAAAGTCCAAAAAAAAGGCAAGAGGTGTGCAATATAGCCCCTTGAAGGAGAAAGGGGCTCACCAAGATCTTTGAGAAGGAGAATGCTCCGTTACACACGATCGGCACTATCCGCTATGGAGCTACCTATATTCATTTAAAAAAATATAGCGCCCCCGGCAAAAGGGACGTTAGTACCATGGTATAGTACTAGTATGTATAACTAAACACCATTTTACTAGAAAGAACTACCAAACAAAGACAAGTAAACCACATAGGTGAATCAAATATGCAAATCATAGAATCATTTACATAATTCCCATAACTTAGTTTGGGGCATTTCTTTCATACGTTCATCACTGTTCTCGATACCACCGCTACCTTGAGCGGAGTCCGATCACGACCCGACCGGCTAGGTTGCCTCATTGGAGGCATATATCTCAATCACTATTTCATTTTCCTTATCCGAAATTCAATATCAGCACATTACCACCATGTGTGCAGCATGGTGTCCGATCACGGCCCGGTCGGCTAGGCCGCCTTGCCTAGGCGTGGTTTCTTCCTCATTATTCATCTCACCTGAATCAAATATCTTTCATGTATCAATTAAATTCATGGGCACTTTGGGCCACAATTATCACATCATTTTCCTTTTCAATATTCACCTTGCAAGTTGTGATCATAGACACATACGAAAGTAATTCAAGTCGCAAGCACATGTAAGTATTCACATAGCTAGCATGAAAATTCTCAGTTTTGATCCTTGGCTTATAGCCCACGCATTTCAACACATGATTGTATCCTTCATACTTCATTAAACATCAAGAATAGTACATTACTCACGTTTGGGGCCCACCATTCATGTATATGTGTGTATAAATTGCAAATCAATCAATGTGAAACAATAATCAGTACACCAACCAATTCAAATCTTACCACACCTTCGTAAACGCCAACGGAGCTTAATTTCTAATAAAAGGGGGTTTTAGCCATACATACCTCAACATAGCTTTCCTTACTCTTTACAAATTCCGGAATTCTTATCACTTCGATCTATGATGCAAGAATTACAAATTAAACCGAAAATTAGAGACGAGGTTGAGATTCTAGCTTGGTTCAAGCATAATATCGAACATTTGAGGTGCGTTATGATCTTAGGCCCCTTTGAGGGGAATTTCTATCATTCTATACCCCCGATTGCCATCTTTTTAGTTTACTACTTTCCAATGTCCTATGGTGTGGTTTGCATGCAAGAGATTCATTTTTATACCCATGAATTACTTCCCTAAGGACCCCATATAGCTAGTATACAAATATGAGCTGAGGTGATGGAGCCTTACCTCTTGGGATGAAGATTTAGGAGCCTTCACTTGATTATTTTCAAGGATTTAGCAAGATTCTATGGAGTAATTTGATGGGGAGAACTTTCTCTCACTTAGACCCCTCTCCTTCACTCTAGAAATGTCCAGAAAATATTCAAAACGAGCTATAATACCGAATATAACGATAGGGGCGTCGGGTTAAAAATTAGAAAATTGGAGCCCCGAGTCGGATCTGCGATCGCAAAGTGGAAATGCGGGCCGCAGATTGGACCGCAAAAAGGCTCCCAAAGTCTGAACATTCTGCTTGGGTATGCGACGGAAATGCGGTCCGCATACCCGTTCTGCGGTCGCATTATGCACCGCAGAATTGACCTTCACAAAATCCCAAGGGAATTATGCGACGACTATGCGGTCCGCATATTGGTTATGAGATCGCATAATGAACCGCATTTTCAACCTCAAATTAGCTAACACACTGACTCACTCTGCGACCGAAATGCGGTCCGCATACCTGGTATGCGACCGCATTCTAGACCGCATATTTGCACTTTTTTGGAAAACTTTGATTCTTGGTTTTTTTTTAAATTCATAGATCAGTCGCGAAGAATTTTTGTGAGTTTCTATCACCTGACCCTAACTAGGCACTACGAGGTTCGGGGTTTGAGTAGAAAAATTTACGGGGCCTTACATCCTCCCCCAGTTAAGATCATTCGTCCTCAAATGAGGATCAAGGCTCACTTATGAGGAATGCTTATGCAACTTCAGACTTTCACAACATAGAACATATTCAGAGTCCTAAATTTGGTTAACTCCCTGAATTTTCGAAAATTTCGCCAGAGTTTCCTTTGTACCTAGGCGTTATCCACCTGTCAGAGAACCCCAGAAACACATCCCAACAGCATAAACACATCTCATAAACATAATATAACTTGTACAGCATCAACTAAGGCCGTATAGGCAATCATACCACCAAAAAGGGAACGGTTTTACATAGATCAAGCCCAAAGATAAGAGTTCATAGGAGCTAAATGCATAAAAGCTATTACATGACTAATCAAACAAATGTGGATACTTCTTTTTCATTTCATCCTCGGCTTCCCAAGTAGTTTCCTCAACTTGCTGGTTCCGCCATAGCACTTTCACAGATGCAATTTCCTTATTTCTCAATTTTCGAACCTGCCTATCAAGAATGGCAACTAGAACTTCTTCATACGATAGCTCTTCATTAACCTCAATGGTCTCAATTGGCACAATGGTGGAAGGATCTCCCACTACCTTCCTCAACATAGACACATGAAAGACCGGGTGTACCGATGACATCTCGGGTGGTAGCTCGAGTTTGTAGGCCACCTGACCAATCCTCTGAATGATTCTGTATGTTCCGACATACCCCTGACTTAATTTTCCCTTCTTCCCAAATTGCATGATACCCTTCATAGGGGAAACTTTCAAAAATACCCAATCGTCTTCCTTGAACTCCAAATCCCTGCGACGAACATCCGAGTAAGACTTTTGGCGACTTTGAGCAGTTTTCAACCTTTCTTTAATAACCTTGACTTTCTCCATGCCCTGATGTACGAGGTCCGGCCCTATCAATTCCGCTTCTCCAACCTCGAACCACCCAATGGGAGACCTACATCTCCTACCATACAATGCTTCGAATGTGCCATCTGGATGCTAGTGTGGAAGCTGTTGTTGTAAGCAAATTCTATGAGGGGCAAATGGTCATCCCAACTACCTTTGAAATCAAGAGTACAAGCACGTGACATGTCTTCAAGCGTCTGAATAGTCCGCTCTGCTTGCCCATCGGTTTGTGGATGAAAAGTTGTACTAAGGTTGACCTGCGCACCCAAACCTTGCTGAAATTCTTCCAAAAGTTGGCCGTGAACTGAGCCCCTCGATCTGAAATGATTGAGACTGGAGTGCCATGTAACCTGACTATTTCTTTGATATATAACTGACCATACTGTTCCGCTGTGTCGGTAGATTTAACCGACAAGAAGTGTGCTGACTTCGTGAGTCGATCCATGATCACCCAAATCGAGTCGAACTTGCGCGGAGTGCGCGGCAGACCTACCACAAAATCCATATTGATCATCTCCCATTTCCACATTGGAATTTCTATATTTTGAGCCAATCCACCGGGCCTTTGATGTTCGGCCTTCACTTGTTGGCAATTCGGACATTTTGCCACAAAATCCGCCACATCCCTCTTCATGTTGTTCCACCAATAAATTTCCTTGAGATCATGATACATTTTCGTAGAGCCCGGGAGCACGGAATACATGGATGTGTGAGCTTCTGCCATGATCCTTTCCCGAAGACCGTCGATATCTGGAACGCATAGGCGGTCTTGGTACCGTAGGGCGCCATCATTCATGCCTAAGGAAAAAGATGTGGTCTTATGACTATGAATCCTTTCCCTCAGTCATGCTAGCAATGGATCACTGAATTGCTTTTCTTTCACCTCCGACACGAGCGACGATTCAGCTCTATTTTGCACAATTACCCCTCCTTTACTAGAACCCGCCAAGCGGACTCCCAAACTGGCCAACTGGTAGACCTCCCTGGCTAACGGCCTCTGATACGCCCCCAAATGAACCAAACTCCCCATAGATTTTCGACTAAGTGCATCTGCCACGACATTAGCCTTTCCCGGGGGGTAGAGAATATTAATGTCATAGTCCTTGAGTAACTCTAGCCATCTTCTTTGCCTCAGATTCAACTCTTTCTGCTTGAAAGTATATTGAAGGCTCTTATGATCCACAAATACATCCATATGAACCCCATAAAAATAATGCCGCCAAATCTTAGCGCAAACACTACTGCTGCCAGCTCTAAGTCATGGGTTGGATA